AAATCAACAAAAATGTCCCAAATTTCCCACTGTCGTCAAGCAGAGTAGGATATTCTGCTAATCGAGCATTCCCTTTGCAAGATCACTCTCTTTTTTTGTTTTCTCGTTCTAAATTGACGTAATTGTTTGTGGTCGGGCATAGTTGGACCCCGGACGAATGAGACTTTTCACAGCTCGCTAAATATAGTAGTTGGATGCGGATTCACGCCGAATGTGGCGCCGTATCCATTCAAGTGGGTAACGTGTGCCAGTCCAATTAACGCAAATCAAAACGCCTCATTCGAGTGGCAGCCCGCAAATTAGTCAACAACAATAAACAACAATTGCATGTTGTGCGTGTGTGTGTGGGGGTTGTCGCGGCTTCCACTTTAATTTAGGCTTTTGTTGTGTATCACTTGTAACTGCCCAGCCGGCCAGCCACCCAGCCTGCCTGACCTGCCCCTCATTCTCATCCCATAGCCAGCTGGGCAGGCTATCATTAGGTTTATTGTTTATTCGATTTAGATACGCTTTGTTTGACTTTTATTGACACGAATTGTTTCACCTGGTTTGACTGAATCGCACGCAACTATTTCATAGTCATGCGCCACGCAGGAAGCAGTTCCAACTATCTTGACGCAGTAAATGAATATATAATATATTAAAAATCTGCTGAACACATGTAGAAAATTGGCATTTTCGGTTTTTGCTTTGTTCCTTTATGCGCGCTGCTACGCTCTCAGTTAGTAATGACATCTGCCAGCCATAAGAAAAAGTGTGATCGAGCGAGAGGTCAGCTGTTACAATTTCCCTTTTCTTACTCTCAATGCTCTCTCAAATGCATGCATGTAAATATGTATGTATGTATATATCTAAAAGAAGAGCAAAAAGCCTTTACTGTGTACATATAATAATTGCAGGGGACATTCTCGACATGAGCATACACACACTTACATCTACTTTGACATGTATTTAGTATGTACATATGTGTCTGTAAGTACATATCCTAATCCTGATGATCAGAACGTTTGTTTGTATGTATGTATGTATGCATGTATGCTTGTATATATATTGCATTTATAATTATAGGTATTATTGTCACTTTAAGCTGACAATATTAATATTGCCTGTGACTGTTCATAATTCTTTATACATATGTATGCGCTGTATGCCATATACGTATGTACTTATATAACCCACTTATCGAGAGAGAGTGAGAGAGAGCGCACAGAAAGTA